AATTATTGTAGTAAACTTCTGAGTATGTGAACAGGTAGGGGATCCCAACTTTGTATTTGAAGGCAAAACTATACAAAGAATGGAACTTTTGGTACTAAGCACATTGAAGTGGAGAATGCAAGCTTATACACCTTGCACATTCATAGATTATTTTGTGAGAAAGATGAATGGTGATCAAATTCCATCTCGGCCGTTGATTTCTAGATCAATGCAACTGATATTAAGCACAATAAGAGGTCTTAACCTCACTCTAAGTCTTTGGATATAGTGAATTGATTTCTAGTGTTTCATATGGTCCTAAATCTTTATGTGTTTGATGGGTGGGAAATTGAATGCAGGTATTGATTTCTTGGAATTCAGCTCTTCTGAAATTGCAGCAGCAGTGGCAATATCTGTTTCAGGAGAAATACATGCAATAGACATTGATAAGAAAATGCCTTTCTTCTTCATACACTTGGACAAGGTAAATTTTTTGGTGTAGTAGTAAGACTGTAACGCATGATGCGTAGGTTAGACATACGTCACGAGTTCGAACGCTGCCGACGCATGTCACGAGTTCGAACGCTGACGCACGTCACGAGTTCGAACGCTGACGCACGTCACGAGTTCGAACGCTGACGCACGTCACGAGTTCGAACGCTGACGCACGTCACGAGTTCGAACGCTGACGCACGTCACGAGTTCGAACGCTGACGCACGTCACGAGTTCGAACGCTGACGCACGTCACGAGTTCGAACGCTGACGCACGTCACGAGTTCGAACGCTGACGCACGTCACGAGTTCGAACGCTGACGCACGTCACGAGTTCGAACGCTGACGCACGTCACGAGTTCGAACGCTGACGCACGTCACGAGTTCGAACGCTGACGCACGTCACGAGTTCGAACGCTGACGCACGTCACGAGTTCGAACGCTGACGCACGTCACGAGTTCGAACGCTGACGCACGTCACGAGTTCGAACACTGACGTGAACGCAAGTCTAGTATTAAGTAGAGACAGGTAGAAGGGCGAGTCCATTACTCACTAATCTTGGAAAATTTTCAATTATAAAAAGAGTAGTTTTTGAGGGCAGGGCAAGCATTTCTTTTGCTCTAGATCTTGAGGCAATAATTTACAACAACTTGGTTTATATATTTAACTTATGTGGGGTTCCCTTTTTAAAAAAAAATCTGGAATTTTGCAGGGCAGAGTGCTGAAGTGTGTTGAACTGATTCAAGACTTGCCAACTGCTACTATTGTTACTACTACTACTGCCTCATTAGTACCTCAAAGTCCTATTGGAGTGTTGGAAGCAGAAGCATGCTTGAGCTACAAAAGTGGTGATGAGAGAACAGTTGGATCATGTACTACTTCTTCACATACTAGTCCAAATACTAAAAGGAGAAAACTTGACACATCATCTTTAGAGGAAGGGACAACAGAAAAGTTGTGAATCTCAATTTCCCCTTTTTGTTAAATCCCACCATCTCCTCCTAGTCCATTCAATTTTGGCTAAATGGAAGATTTGGTGTGGCTTTGAAAAAGTCACAAATGAGGAGAGAGTAGAAAATATACAAAAAANGAACAACCATAGTAATAGGAGGTTGAGGGGTAAAATGGAATTTTGGGAAGGGCCATCAATTTTGGTAGGGAAATACTTTTTTCTTGGTTCATTTTTGGCTTATTATTTTTATTTCATTGGAAAAATAAAGAATGATAAATGGGAAAGGGAAAAGAGAGAACTAAAAGGTAGTGGAAGTTTTAGTAGATGATGGTATTGCTTTATTAGTTCTATTAATAGTGAAATGAGATGCATCTATATTGTTTCCCCATGTACCCTAAGTTTCTTGGAATAAGCAGAAGAGATGTTGTCAATTCTTGACCTGCTCTCGATAAATTGCCCTCTGTTTTTTGGTGAAAGAAAATATTTATCAGGTAAATATCATTGACATGGGATATAGTTTATTTAAGAAACAAATGAAGATTTTGCAAAAATTCTTAAGATGGAATGACCATTTGAGAAGTTCAAATGTTTAGTGGTTATGTTACATGACAGGTCAGTCTTTCCGGCGCAAAAAAATTGATTTTTGGTCTGCAATAATTTTCTAGGAAGGTTGGGTTAAGTTTAAATGATTTTATAGTGACACAAAAGAATTGACTTTATTCTATAATAAGCTTAATTTAAATGACCATTGAAGAGAATTCCCAACCTAAATATAATATGCACTTGTGAAGCATAAAAGAAACCTTGGGAATGCAATGAAAAATGGTGTGATGGGCAGTATGGCATTACGTGCTTAAATTGTTCTGATGATTGTCTCATATGGACTTATCACACGTGGTGCCTAATATTACTATTTTACTAATATTTCCCATATTAGTCCTATTCGACTTATGGTGTGAACAATATCATCTAAAAAAATTTACTATTAAGTAATAATTTTATTAATTGTCATCTTTACTGTCACACAAACAAGTACTAGGATGTGCATAGTATGGTAAATATTAAATTCGAAATTGAAAATTTGATATCGTATCGAAATATATATTAAGTTACACAATACATATAGTATTATTGATTATGACATACTATGTTATACAATACTTTCCTTTGGCATTCATGTTGAGGTTGACAGGCCTTGTTGTATTCTCTCAATTCATCAATTAATTCTAAGCAAGTATGAAGACATTTTAACGATCAAATTTATTTCTTGATGTACATTTTTTCTCTTAATGTGTTAATAATACTTGCTGGTTTTAGACAAATTTTTTGTCAACAGTCAGGTGAGCTTATTTTTGTATTGTATGTGTGAGTGACTTAATTAATGCGAATATTATAGTATATGGATTTATAAATTAGTTAATATTCAAGCCGAACAAATTGAAGTTATCGGACTAAAAAACTGAAACCAAAAGGAGAAAAGTCGAATCATACCGAATTTAATTAGGTCTGATATTAGTATAATATTTTAAGAAATATCAAATTTACCATGATAAGTAAATATCGTCCCAGACGACCGACGAACACCCCTACACGATATTGAGACCACAAGATAAGGGTTTTATCAGAGTTTGAGCAAACGTACTACAATCAGACCTTTATATAACAATCATTCACTATAAAAGCTAAGTTTTTCTCAGAACCGATTTTTTAAGCTATATTTTACCTCTTTATAATAGCTTTTTACCTGTAACAGCAACATCCATATTTATAGCATAACGCTCTTTGTAAAATTTACCCTTCTATAACAACCATATAGAATCTTTAAGGTTACTAGTAATAATTCTAAAAATATGCACACAATATTTTTTATTGAGCAAAGTTTCTATTTTGCATAAGACATAAGATCTGAAGAATGCCAAAAAATATTGAGATAGAAGATTTAAATTAAGCTCTTAGATTGTCTTCAAGTGAAAGCTATTGGATACCTTTTTGCTGAAAATTTGGATGCGAATCTTCGCCAATTCAAATGTTATATCTCTAGTAAGAGAATGAAATCTACGAAACAAGCAACAATTACAAAGTTCTTCCATCAATCGTGAAAATTTTTATTTTTCTAAGTTGCTCTAAATGTGAGCCTTTGAGTTTATATCTTTTATCATTTAGTTATGAATTTATTAATAATATATTAGCTTTCTTCAATATTTAACTAGTGAAATATGCATATCTTTTGAGATTTTAAATTTGAATATTTTTCTTACTTTTTATATGTAACATTAGAAACGAAAAAATAATTGATATTTGAATAATTTTTATCTATAAGGGCCAAAAAATATTTAAATGTCAAATATTGTTATAGGTGTATAACAATCATTCATTATAAAAACAAAAAAATATGGAAACAAGCTGTTATAATGTACTTATAAGAATGTATTTACCATAGACAAACGCAGAAAGGGTTGAATAGCTAAATGGTCGATTAAGAAACAACAGCTAAGCATGGTCAAGAAAGAATATAAAATCTTTTTTTGCATTATTTATCACAACTTTAACAGTGATCTGTTGTGGCTTGTGGGATCCCAATAAACAGTTAACACACACATCAATGTCTGGCATATGCTTACCTAGCGAGGGCTCGAACTTTTTGCGAAGAACAATGGTGCTCGTAGGATTTTCTGTAATTGACGTTAATATTTAAATAAGTAAATAAATAAATAAACAAGCACTATAACAATAAGCAAAGTCATTTTTTATTTATACCCAATATTTTCATTTTGTTTATTATCGATACATACATATATTGTATTAAAAAAATTTCGACGAAGCAGTGTTCAGTTGTGCTGCTTGGGATAAGGTATATACACCCCTGCCCACCAATCAATACGCCACCCTTTGTGAATTGGAAGAGTAATATTCTTGTTGAACGGTCTATATGAATGATAAACTACTTAAAATTACTTAATTAAGTGGAAACTTTAGTTTAGTTTTTAAGTATAAGGCAGGCTTTTGTACCTACCCAGAATTTAACTGTTTAGTGCGTTGTTTAGAGAAAATTTGAGCTAGTTTAGCAAAAGTATAACTGACTAATTAATGGATCAAAATTTAATCAGCTATCAGGTAACATGTGCTAGCTAGTTTTTGACCAGTTTTACTCTGGTTTTCTTTACCCCTTCTGCTAACGGCAACCATGTATATAAATCATATCCAAGAAATTGCTTCACCATCAAAATAAAGTAAAGCTACTTTAACCCTTTGATAAGAAGCTACATTAGCTGCAGGTTCGGATGAACCCTGTAGCTTCTGCTTAAACGTTGTATTTGTATTAGAAAATTCATAAAATATGTATAAATATTTAATTGCGAATCCAGTAACTAAGACGAGATATGAGTTCGCTGATGAATTCAGAACCCATAAACTTCAAATCCTAGCTCCGCCTGTCTACTGAAGAATCTGATTCACCGTATACAACCATATACGTAAATCATATCCAGAGAATCGAGGGAAATCGAGCTTAGGAATGGGAGTAAAGTAGCCAGTAGGCTCTGTTTTCCAAATTTCTAGTATCAACTGGATAGTAATTTTGATGTTGATCCTTGTAATGAATCACTCTCTTATGTACATGTAAGAGAGTAATCCAACAGCAAGCCAAAGTCAAAGTCAAAATCTGCCGCAGCAGCTACATGTATATTATGTACATATGGACAATAACTTCAGCTTCCAAAACATATTTAGTCCTAGGAACCAAAAGAGGCCTATCTGAAGGCATAAAGTCGAGAGGAAGTCTACAATATAATTGTGACTATAGAAGGAACTGAAAGTAATAACTAAGGGAATGAAGACTGGAAACTGGACCAATTTTTTATCAAGCTATCCATTTCCATCTTTGTTGTTGCCAATTTACTTTTGGTGCTATCGATCTTCCTGACTTTTTCTTGAGCTAACAAGACAATGCGTTGAGCCTCTCGGGTGGCTTCTAGTCTTTCGTCCATGATTTGTTTCTGCCTGGTCTTTATAGTTTGAAGCGCTGCTTCCAATTCTCTAGCTTGCTCCTCCTTTTTCACATACTCCGCCATCAACTTTGCTTCTAATCTATTCCAATCATCCAGTTTTTTCCTATCCTCTTCAAAGTTGGTCAAGAATTCCTGGTAACTTGATTCAGCTTGTGCCAAGTTCCTCCATTTCTTAACCATGATAGGGAATTCATTCTTAAGTTTTACCAATTGCTTGGCATGTTCATCACTAAACGATGAGGGATCTTCATTTAAAGCAGCAATTGCACCATACATTTCTTCTTCGTTCACTGGGTCAGCCAATGCCTCTAAAGACAGTCTGATTGAGCAATCAAATATTAATTTTTTGAGCATTCGGGTTGAATCATTGTTGCTCCAGAGACCTGATTCTGCGCCGGAATACTGCTCTGGCAAAGACTTCGAGAATGACTGAGCCGATTGGAATTCCACCTCTTCCGAATTGGACTGCTTTAACTTTTGACAAGGAACGGATGTGCTTTCTTGAGCCTGCCAATAAAAGTATATTTCTATGATAAATTTATATGGCAGTAAGAAGAAAGTTCAAACCAGAAATTGTAACTGTATCGCTATTGGAATACGGCGCAAACCTTGTCTGCTGAAGACAAATGAACAAGATCAGGAAGTGGAGTAAATTTAGCAGTTCTTGGTTTCTCATTCTCACTTGGAGCAACATATTCTTCTCTTTTGGGAACCTTGTGTGCTGAAGATAAACGAACAAAATCTGGATGTGGAGAATGTAGATTAACTTCAGCAGTTCTTGGCTTCTCATCCTCATTTAGAGCAACATATTCCTCTCTTTTGGGAACCTTGTTTGCTGAAGAAAAATCAACAAAATCTGGAAGTGGAGAATATAGATCAACTTTAACAGTTCTTGGTTTCTCATCCTCAGTTGGAACAACATATTGTTTTGTTTTGGTAGTCTTTCCACTATAAAGATCTTCCAAAATGGAGGAAGATTGGCCTGATTGTGTGCTCGAATACTGCTCTGGCAAAGACTTCGTGAATGATTGAACTGAGTGGAATTCCACATCCTCTAAATTGGACTGCTCTAACTTTTGACTAGGAACAAATATGCTTTCTTGAGCCTGCCAATAAAAGTATATTTCTATAGATAAATTTATACGGCAGTAACAAGGAAAATTCAAACCAGAAATTATATCTGTATCAAATGTGTGAACCTTGCTTGCTGAAGACAAATGAACAGAATTTGTAAGTGGAGAATATAGATTAACTTTAGCAGTTCTTGGTTTCTCATCCTCAGTTGGAGCAACATATTCTTCTCTTTTGGCACTCTTGCCAGATAGATCTTCCAAAACGGGGGAAGATTTTCGCATACTTGGTGTTGGCATATCCTATAAAGGAGAAAATGAAAAACACGCCAAATAATGAAGTTTCACTCAGAGATGAAAGATGTTGATATTTTGGCTCACATTTATACGTTCGCTGATCAGAATTGATGAGGATGATCCGGTAACAATGCCTGATTCCGTGTGCCTTCTTGCATCCACAGGAAAAAAATGGAAGATGTAAAGTATACATAGACAAAGGGTACTTAGCATGCTCTAGAGAGTCGGAAGGAGTGGCACTAACCACGGTGGTTCCCCACTTTGGAGCTACAAATAATAGGGGTATTTATCTTTTGAGATTCACAGAGGAGAGTTCCCAACTTTTTTCCTCAAATGCATTATGCGGCAACAAAGCCACTAGTATCTAAACTGTCTTTAAATGGTTATGTGTTTCAACATAAGACACAAGCATTAATCACTATCCGAGTTGGTGATAATAGCAAGGATGCAAAGCTTTAAGCATGTCCAGAATGACAAAACCAGATGATAAAAGCTCCACGGGCAACAAAATTAGAAATGAAATTATGCTTTAAGCATATCCAGAGACCAGAATAAAACCAGAACACAAAAGCTTTAAAAGGCATAGAGAGTTGGAAGGAAAGTTGTATAAGACATAAGACAAAAAAGGTTAAGTTTTTTTAATGTAACATATAAGTTTCATGTGTAAGCAAAAAGAAAATAAGGGCATAACTTCGTGAAAAAGGAGCAGTGTTCTTACAATGTTGTTTTCTCCAAATGATCCACTGCTTGGCTCACTGCACGAACAATTATATTCTTTACCTGAAGCCGCACAGGCAAATTAACATAATCTTTAAACATGCACACACTGTTTGCTGTGAGAACAATAACATGTCATATGAAACTAAATAGAAAGGTCCATATTTGTCCCTGTACTATCCGAAGTTGCTCAATGTTGTCCTCCATTACACTTTTGATCCATTCATACCATTACCATTAGAAAATGGTCACGTATTTGCCCTTGCCATTAACAGAGGTCCAGCGTTGAAATTGGACTCCACGTATCCAAATTCTTTGAGAAAAAGGGTCCAAATTTACCCTTAACTTTTGACTATGATTTAAAGTTATCCTCAGGTTGGGGATCCTTTGGGGTCTAGGGCACAACAAGACTTTTTCCTAATGGCAGGGGTAATATTAGACCAAAAGTCTAACGGATGGCAAAGTAGCTCCATTTTGTAGTACAGGGGAAACTATGACCATTTCCTAAATAAAATATGTACCCAGTTCTCAAATGGATATCATTTTAACATCAATGTAGCGCAGATTATAAAGCTTGCAACATGTAATGAGGACATACAAACTTAAACATCTAATTTCATAATTAAAGTAATTAAATAAGGAGTTTATTTTCAAAAATCAAGCGTAATTAATCAGGAGTTTGAGAAAGGATCTAAGACCAAGAACTCCAACGTGAAAGGCTAAACAGAGGGTGAAACTGCGTAAACACATTGGTTGCAACATCACCAAAACACTCATGTCATGCTACATGGTAAGAAGATAAAAGGGAGGATGCTGGGAAAATGGTTAGAACTTTTCCATGCCAAAACAGAATAAAATACAAAAAAACGATCTTAAATAAAGAAATGAATAAAAACAAGTCTAGAAAAAGGTGATCAATGAAACAAGAACATGTGACATTTGCACAAGACAACTATATTCCAAACATTGGAATTTTACCTTTCCATAAAATTTTCTACAGGTGGTGCTCATTAGGTGCTTATAGTACATTTTGTGATGCTCTCTTGACCATGCTTTTGAGGAAAAGAACATAATATCAAAAAACATAGCACTTTTCTAGTTACAGATGCTTAAGAGGGGCAGAAGCATGTCAAGAGCACCACTTATTAAAAAAAAAAAGGAAGAAGGAGAAATAAGGATCAACGTACCTCCAACTTATCTTCTCTAGCAACATGATTTCTGGGAAGCTGGCGAAACTCCTCGGTCAAACGGATGCACTCATTCACATTTTCAGGTGAAACAAAATCAACAGCAACATTGATGCAGGACTGTAAACATGAACACACCAGTAGTCATCGAGCTTAGTTCACTAAGCTAAGATCCTATAGTGCAAATCACATCTGTGCAGGAAGATACATCCATAAGAAGAAACTACCGAAAGATGCGTACTTTGAGAAAAACAAGACATTGTTATCTATCTCAACATTTGATTGATCGATAAATTTTCAGGCTTCATTCCAGACCAGATACTTGATTTTTACCTCTTTCCTTGTAACATATGAAAAGGACTTCTGACCAACAGAGACAAACATGATAATGGACAGATGTTTACATATTCAGAGCGTTCTTGCACATCTCAGTAGCATCTATGCACCAAAAGCTATCAGATTAAAATCCATTCTTGTAGACACTCATGTTGGAAATGCCCAATTTCATTTCTATCTTTTTCTCACTCAGAGCAGTAGGACACGTGCCATTTGAGAAGCAGTAATTGGATAGAGGATACTTTAAAGCAACATGAAAGACTATGACGGGTCTAAAAGCAGACTTTTCAGGAAAAGAGAGTGATCATGCTATGTGCCATTGGACCTCCCTAATACCACAAAATTGCTGTCAGAAAGGCTGACAGAAATGAGCCACACTCGGGATAGAGAGATGAACCAATTGTATACCTTTAAATTTCTGATTTGATGAGGGCATCCAGCAGGAATAAAAACAGCTTCACCTAATTTTTGAACAAAAGTCCATGGTTCAATGCCTGCAAAAGAAAAGCATGAGAGCACAGCAATTGCAAGGATGNGAAAGTATGAGAGCACAGCAATTGCAAGGATGCAGTCTTAGAAACTGCTTTCTAATATGATGTGGTAAGAAATAGCAAACGAATAAGAGAATAATATGACCGTATTCTTCCTTTAGTCTCCTTTTATGCTCTGTGCTCAAGTAGAAAGTTTCATCATGAATGGGGTGAGCAACCTGCAATGGAACAATAAGAATAAGACAGGTATCAAATCCAAACTGAGACATGGTAGAAAAGAACAAATTCATTTATCTATTCATAAAGGGAGGACAGAAAAAACTATAGCATGACTCACTATACAAGGATTTTTCGACATGCATTCTAAGCAGAACACACAACAAAAAACAGTGTATGCAAGGACCCTCAACCTATTCTCACTACCTTCCAGGAGAATGCTTAAAACTTAAGACACATCGAGGACAAGGATTTTAACATGTTCTCAGTTCTCCACTTCACCAACAAAGCTTTCTGACGAACACCATCCAGATTTATATGGAGTAGTTGACCTAGTACTGGAGAAAAAAGAAGGGGTTGAATGAGCAATTGTAACTTTAGAGATCTCCCACCCCCTTTAAAGCTATGTCAAGGTCTTATGTGTTCAATGTGGAAGTGAAGTTCTTCAAAGTGATAATGCTACTTACGGAAAAAATCTTTTCGGATTAATCAATTAGTGGACTAGGTCAACTATATAGGAGCTTGATGCAATAGCAAATTTCCATTGAAACTTTCTCCAGCTAAGAGATGTAATTCCTGAACCATAAAATATAAGGAACCAACAATATAGCTAACATCTATAGACAGAATTGAAGACCTATAACATAAAATAAATGTTTTCACACTAAACTTCAAAGTGATTATAATGACAATTACCAATATCTTAACGTCACACCATTAGTCTATAGCAAATACAATGGCAATCACCAGAACCAAAATATCAGGCCATTACTCCATATGGTGACCATCACCACATAGCAAAATGTCCGACCATTAGTCAATGGCTCTCCATACTAACAAATGATTGCTAGTTAAACCCGAATTGTGAATTGGCAATTCCATATAATAAAGAAGTGAAACATAAAGGTCAAAAGATCGTTAGCGATTGGTAGAGGGAATCTTTAGCGATGAGCAACGAGGTAGAGCTTCTTAACTTTAACTGCTTATTGTTTTAAGTAAAAGATGATCATCATAAACAGACTCAAAATATAACTCAGCCTATGGAGATATGTTGATGATTTGCTTCAGTTACTGTTGCATTTTTTTAGAATAATAAGTTGCTTAGTTTTAGGATAAATTTCTATTAGATTGTTTAAGTTAGTTGAGATATTTTAGGTTTCTTGAATTTTAAATTATGTGGATTTTTTGTTCCTAATTGGCTATTTAAAGCCTTGTTATGCTTAATAAAATAATAGAGAGACTTTTTCAATCAATACTTTAAATCTTTTTGCTGCCCCATCTTTTAAAAAACCAACAAGATTCAAGCCAAGAGAGAGGAACAACAAATGACAATGTGCACTTATAGTCAAGGGGGAGGCAACACATGGATAAAGATAAATAATTTTTAGGAACTTCAAAATGACAAGTAAATGAAAGTTGCTCATTTATCTTTACCTGCAGCAATGGTGAGCCATATATGTGCCGAAATTCCCTAAAGTGCTTCCTGAGATATTCCTCCAGTTCAGGAATATCTTTCCTCCTAAAGACATCCCATAGAGCACCACCGTCTGCGTCTTCTCTATTTTGAAATTGGTCTGCCTCTCCATTTGTTTCACAATCTGCTTCCACACCTTGCTGGCTATACTTCTTTTTCTCAGCTTTATTACTTTTCTCCACTTCCAAACCATCACAGTTCTGCTTCTCCTGAGAAACGCTCAGCTCATTCAAGAAAGTTTTTCCATTTACACTAGGGACCCAATCCTTAATCCTCCCATGAGTCCTGCAAACATCAGTTGCAAATTCCTTCTCATCCTGCGCTTTGTGCTTCTGTTTCAGGTTCTCTATGGCCGAGAGCTGATCAGCTGTTGGGACGGCAGCTTGAGTGTGCATCAACAAAAACACCTAAAAGATAATTTCAAGAAAACATTAGACCTCGAGCAAGAACTTGGGTAGCCTTATCATATGTTTCTCAATGTCACTTATCAAAATGCCCCAAAAATATTTGTGTGCATATTTCAAAAACCTCCAGATTTCTACAGTACTGCAGCATGTTACCAGGAGCCAAACTTACCGTATCAGACACATAGTAATGCAGCTTGGTGACTGAGTCTCCACGTCCAAGCTCCTTCGGAAAACCATAAGCAATGTATGCCTTAGGCCCCAAATCTGGCTTCAAACAATTATCAGGAAGTTTTAGAGCTAGATTGAGATAGCCATGTTGAGGATGTGTATACTCCTTAAAAGGTAAACAGCTACAAAATTCTGCACCATGACGGGGCAGCCGCTCATCAAATAGACCTGATGGTGGCCAGTCATTCAACTTTAAGAGTTGAGGCCACCCATAACTGTCAAAGCGACCCTCCATGTACCCTTTGAAAAACTGGTGAATATTTATCTCCAACTGCATGGTATCCAGGATAAAGTAATTTGAGATAACATGGAGAATATAATTTACCAGAATCTAGGCCTCAATTATTTCAAATTATCACAAACCAAATTTACACAAACTCAAATAGTCAATTTCTTATTATATATGACTTAGAATTTGTAAATGAGACACTGCACTTGAGCTAAAACAGACTTAACGGAAAGCAACATGTCAAGAAACAGGAGTTAACTACTGTGCAAAGTAATTTAGATGATTTGTAAGAGTGATGATGATTTATATCATTAATTTGTTCAAAATGGTGGTGCAGTGCCAGCACGCGCGCACCTCGACTATTTCACTGAGTACCAGCTACCTCCCATCAACAAAGATACCGGGTGACTTTGTCCACCAAGGCTTATGCACATGGGACGAAATCACCTAGTGTTTTTGTCTCTACTGGAATTTGCACCTGGTCTCCAAGGTTTTCACCCATTTCTATTTATAACAATAAGAATTAATTACACTAAACGCCATTAATCTGTGCAATAAGTAAGCCTTCTTGTTGACGTGTTTCCTTTAACCCTCAGTAAACTTGCATGGTCATGCAGTTATTAGGATAATCAGGCATAGCATAAGGTGCAACAATGTTAGCTTGTGGCTCACAGTTCTAGAATAGATGACTGGACAAGCCTTCTTTGTTTATTGACAAACACGCTTCATAACCAAATGTTCCCAGCTCAACTCCAATGCATTGTCAAGAAGTTTGTTACAATAATTGGTTCACACAAATAGTGTTTCATGAGTTTAAAAAAGCACAAAAAGCAAAAAAGAATCACCTATCATAAAAGGAAACACAGAGAATACACATCCAAAATGGATGCTTGAAAATCCCACCCTAAATTAGTATCATCAAATGATCTAAAAACCCTAGCATTGAGGTTACAATCATAGCATTGAACTTTGTATCAAGCATTAGATTTTGATCTATTCTGCATACTGATTTGTATTTCTGTTTGCAACCCAATTATATTGTCATCAAGAGAACCACAGATGACACAAAAGGGACGGAATGGAGACTTTATAGTCATACAACTAGAGTAAAACAATTTTACTAAGATATTTTTGGAGCAAGGAAAACTACAAATTGATGTCTCACGAAGTACACTGAGATAGTAAATAGAGATTATCAAGCTGCACATAAATAATCCTCCTCCTTCTCCCCACCCAAAAGAAAGGCATATAATTTTGCTTCATGTATCATTGTGAAGTAGTAAACTGACCTCACACCAATCCAATGAGTTGATGGCGCTGACATCCAAAAGAATGGGATGTCTTAAGTTCTTCATCTGGCGACACGCTCTCCACATAACCATGGGCTCCCAACTTAACCCTGACGCAGTTTCATGCACATTACTAACAATCACAGGCTCACCTTTCAGCCAATGACACTGGAAATGCTTCAGATCCTCCTGCTGAAGATCTTTAGCTGCTGGACAGTATAAATAATTGTCATCTGAATCGTCACGTGATGCTGCTTTACGCAATTTACTTTTCTGCACATCAGTTTCATCAACTAATTTTATACATAAGCATGACCTCTGAGGTATTTGAGGCATGTGTTCCAGTTCACATCTTTTGGCAATATATTCAGCCTTTGCCAACAACTCAGAGACCGGATTCTTTGAATTTGACAGCAGGCACTTCAGCTCTAAACTTCCCTTACCACAGCCACCAAAATTCTCTGGTGGACAAGGGATGCTGCCATCTACATTGGATTTCCATTCACCAGCACGACCACCAGAATTCTCTGGCGGAAGCCCTCCATTATCCCTAGGCTCCATTTCATATGCAAACTTGGCATCTCCCACGGGATTATTGTCAATCTTCTTGTTCTGGGAAAATCTACTCCTTGAAGTTCTATTATTAGCTATCATATCACCATGCAAATAAGCATCACCTTTGTCTTTGAATTCAATGATGACTTCTTCACCTCCCTTAAGATGACCATCTCTAAGCTCCCGGCAACAAGTAAGGCAAAGATCATACGAACAGCTGGAACAATTTCTGTGAAAATCAACAATGGATGTTTGGCAGTTATCGCTGCACAAAACATTGCTCAATTCAGTTTATTTGAAAATCATTCCAAGAGAATTGACAGGTAAAAAAGAGGTTCTTCATATTTACCAGTACACTCGCTCATTCCTATGACACTTTTCCTTCTGCAGCTTTACATTTGACACTGGTAATCCTGCCCAAATAAATACGGGAAATTCTAGCTATAATAGGAAACAGATGAAGATGCATGATGCATTCAGTTTTTCTTGGAAGAAGTTGGTATATCTCTACCACTAGATGAAACTATTCTTCCTTATCTAGGAAACAGCAAGTATCTTAAAACATCCTCTATTTAACATTTCAAATCCTTTTAAACTCAACCATGTGCAAATAAATGGAAGAGATATGACTATTTTGTTATCTTTTCTAGCTGCGCCAGTATATATCACCTAGCAGAATCCAAAATGCGTACTAAGGGTTTCCCAAATGAGAAGTATACTGTATATCAAATGAAAAATATATATGTTACGGCATCCGATCTTTGAACAAGATTATAGAACCTTGAATCTTAGCTTCAATCTCCATCTCCATCACTTGCTCTGCATTGATTCTTCTCAAGAGAGGCAAAAGTTTTTGCAAGATAAATTTAGAATATTGAACCTTTTCTTCTTCACTGATCTCAAATCGTAAGTTCTTCAAAGCCTGCAACAAAACTTTGGATAAGCGTGCAGCATATACTGTTAACTTGTAACTTAATAAAAGTAGAAACAACAAAAGAAACCAACCCTTATAGGCCCGTCTAGGCGTAAGCATGCTTTGCAATTACAGATTTGACAACAAACAGGACAAGACTCGACAAAAGCCTCCTCAGGCATCCCAGGGTACCTATTATCGATCATAAAGGGAAAAGGCGGTCATGAGAAACACGAAAAGAAAACTACACAATTGAGAATTGGTGTTGAATATGACGCTATGAAAGCTTCAAGTTGTTAAAATGCTCTTCAGGCTTAGCATCTTATCAGTTTTGACAATTGCAATAACTCATCAAGAGACAAAATTGCTCAAATAAGCCACAAGGTGTAGAGTATTGTCTCCTTGCAAGTCCAACTTACATTTAAAATCTCAGTAAGATTACTCACGTAAACGAAAACCAATAATATACTCCATTTGATTTAATGTCTCTTAGTTTGATTGCGCACGAGGTTTAACAATGTACAAAAGACTTTTGAATCATGTGCTCTTAAACTAAAGGTGTGTAAGCACCCTTTTCTTGTGGTCTTAAGCATATGAAATTCAAGTGTCATTAAGGACACTAATAACTAACTAAATATAGAAATGTGACAATCTTTCCAAAACAGAATAAAAAGGAAAGTAATACACTTAAAACAAGTATAGTGAGGGTAAAAGGTTTTTGCATACCATCTGGTCATGCAAGGAACACAATATCGCTTCATTCTACAGTTGGTGCAACGAACAACCCTTCCTTTGTCATTCCTCTGGCACTGATGACACATATTTGATTCAAACTCATTCCCCTGCCCATGTTTTGAATGCAGAATGAAGACAATACACCGTTAGTACTAAGTGGCAGAGACAAAAATTTATGCAAAGGGATATTAAAAAATTTACTAGAATGTAGGACTTGAACCTGTGACACCAAAAACAAATTTTGAACCCCATATTCCACTATGCTAAACTCTTAGGAGATTCAACGGTTTAATTACATGTAGCCAGAAAAAAATATTTTTATCCTATTTGCCTAGAATACAATTGGACCCCCTTGGCTCTACATAGCTCCACCCCTATTACTACTCATACATATTCTAGAGGAAATAAATCAAATGACCATAGTATTAAATAATAACGGTGTGCTTTAGTTGTACTTTACTACTCATACATATTCTAGAGGAAAATCTACACTATCAGGTCACTTTTTAAGGTAATTATAAGTAGCTCTACTTAATTAAACATTGATCGTTAACCTAAAATAATAACAAGTAAACTGCTGCAACGGTGTTCATATATAGCTTAAATTCATAAATTAAATGATCACATTTGCGAATCTAGTAGTAGTATTAAGAAGGTTAAGATATCTGTACATTTTCATCCTTCCTCTTTCTGTTTCGGGGATTTGATTTCATTTGTCGCACAGAATATCTTCCAGAATCTGATCCTGCTTCAACTATTTCTTCTCCGTCAAGCTTCTGGCTTTTACACTTTTTCTTACTCCCAATTTTCTCATTTTTACCCCTTCTTTTTCTACCTATATTTCTGTCTTCTTCATCCCATTCATCCAATTGCTGATTAATTCCCTTTAATTTCTCCATAGCTATTTTAGTTGACTTCCTTGACCTAATAAAACTCACTTCAGCAGATTCCTCTTTATCACTGTTATATTGCTGAGCAACTAACTGTTCAGTGACCTCCATGGAAATAGTAAGAATCAGGAACTGAAATTTTGTAAAAGACGAACTAAATTCGAGTAAATTCTTTCATTGCCTTTAGATAAAACATTTACATACAAGGGGTGTTTATATATATTTTTCCATTTCCGGCTGATTAGCGTGCCTTGTTGTAGTGGGCAACGAGGCCTGACAATCGTACGGTACCTCACGTAACTACAATGACGTATTATTAGGCGTAATCTCTAAATATAGAACCTTAAACTTAAAAGATAAAAAGGACTAAACTGTAAAGGAGAGGAAATGTAATCCTATAAGGGGTTGTTTGTTCGCTAATCAGTTATTTTGTAATTGTAATACAGAAATTAAATAATAACAAAAGTATTTAGGCCTCTTTTGTTTTTTGTTTTTTTAAGATTATGACGTCTCAATCTGAATACATATCTGAATATTAAAATGTGTATTAAGATTAAGACATTTGAATCTAAATACACATCTGAATATCAAAATGTGTATTAAGATCTGAATACTATAATTAAGACTGTTTGTTTTTTAACATCTGAATGTATAAAATTTATCTTTATTTGAAAATTAATAAACATAAAACTCAAATGAAATACTAATTAATCTAATATTCTATCAATAAAATATATTATTTTTTAAAATATGAAAGTTGTTGGTGGTGACGGCTAACAATAGTGCTTGTGAATATCGGCTAGAGGCGGTGGCTGGTGGTAGTTTTGGTTGGTTGGTGGTGGTTCATGGTAGTAATTAGTGGTGATTGATAGTGGTGACGATTATGATTGAGGATGGTGGTGATGGGTGGTGACAGTTAATAATGACGGGTGGTTGTAGTGGTTTAAAATGATGGACAGTGTCATTTTGTTGATGGGATGATGTGATTAATTGTGGTAGTTGAGGTGGATGAGTTTTGATTGTGATTGAGAATGATGGTGGTGGGAGTGGTGGAGATGGTAGGTCGGTGGTAGTCGATGATGGGACAGAGGATGGTAGTGGTGGTGGTAGTTGAGTATGGTGATCGTAGTTGATAATGGTAGACGGTGGCGACAGTTAATAATGAATATGGATGATAGCATCTTAATCATACAGACCTATTCAGACTCATTAAGTGGTTGTGAAGTAAAAAAAAACACGTAATGATTAAGATCTAAATTAAGATTCAGATTTTAAAAACAAATGCACTTAATGTCTAAGATCTGGATGATTAAGATTCAGACCTCCATTAAGTGCAAACAAATGAGACCTTATTTTATTTGATTGGAGACGAGATATATAGTATATATAATATAAATTTGATTTTATGCTACACCAATTTGAATAAATTTTTGTTTTATATTTTAACGTGCATCTTAAATTTGTAACCATTCTCCCTCTTTAACAGCTTGCTTGTACTCGAGCAAGGAATTCTGGACATTGAACTTGTAGAGTAACATAATCCTCCCAAATGGCTATTTTTGCAAAACCTCCTTTAATGGTGACAAAATATAAAATGTGCTACTGCAATGGCTTGGTTTAAAGTGTAAACATAGGAGTGGAAGGTGGTGCAGAGGGGAAAATCATGCTATTTCTGCAAATCTCCCTCCCAAGGGCCACAGGATGTAGAATTCTGAAAGAAACCATGTGGAGCGAATTGGGCTTGTGGTATTTGCAACCCAACAAGTTAGCAGGGACATTTTCATAAATATCCATTTTGTGGCCATCATTAAAGTTATACTCACGTTGCACAAAATTTTGCGAAGCATACTGCTCGGATCTGAAGTAGTTCAATATCTTCAATGAAACTTCATAAATCAAATCTAAAGTTCTTCTATCTTTCAAATGGAACTTCAAAAATTCAAATCTTAAGCAGTTCAATCTATTGAATGCAACTTCAGATTCTGAATCCTAAGTTCTGAAACATAACCTTATTCTTCAAATTTCAATAATTCAATACACGATTCAATGTCCAAATCTACTCGAAATGAGCTCAAATTTGAAATATAATATTCAAATATCATAAAGAACAAATTTCAATCATCAAATTATCAAAACAATAACAAATTTAACAAACTCATTTTACAACTAAGAAGAAGAAAAGAAGAAATGCTAAGCACAAAAAAAGTGGAAAACTACATTAAAGAAGAAGGGAAAAGTTTATGTATTCTAAGTTATTTAAAAATTGAGTATCAGTTTAACGTTTTTCAAAAAGTAGATACAAATTCAATGGGTAGCACAAAAATAAGTGCCAAATGAAAACTTTACCAAGTTAGCATAGGCCGGAGCCGACGGACCAACGGAGGTCTTAAATATAAGTGAAAATAGCATGGGGTAGCCACTATTTAAGGTGGTATTTATTTTTTATCCAGCAATTCTAATGTTGAGCAAAAATAGCTATTACTCTATTAAAATTAATATGAAAAGATATTTTTACCCTTTCTTCCCAAACCCTCGCTTCTCTCTCTGCATCAAATACATTGGAAATACTGGGTACCGTCATGGAACTCGTGCTTCATATAGAGCATATATGAGTTAAGAATCCAAATAGCGGCTGGTAGGAGAGATAAATGTAATGTAATAGCAAAACTCTTCCTAGAATTTTTTTTTTTGATAAGTATTGTCCTAGAAAAATTTAATAAGCACTGTGATAAGATTCTTTCCCGATAAAAACGCCAATTGCAAATCTTGTCTATATCTCCCATATAAAGTTGCTAACTTGATAATTATTTTCATGAGCTAGGTCGAAACCATGACTCTATAGCATTTTCCAAAAAGGTTCACACCAAATCTAGAATCCAGATGCAACCCAGAGCTATTGAAAATATTGCTTTTGTGCTACATGGAAATTGACTTTAAGACAGTATTTTCTCCCTGTTCTATTCCTGGTCAAACTTTAACTAACCTACTGTACTCTCATGTCGTTTATTTAGGCTTTTACAGAATGAGTAGAAACATGTAAAAAGGAAGGAGCTTAATATTGAAAAAAAAAGACGGTATAGGAAAGGTTAAGGAGCTCAGTCATCATTACTTTAGGCTACATCTATGAAACAACACCCTACTAGCTTGAAAATAAGTGAGTTTTAGTTTATTGAACTTACACTAACAAGCTCAAAAGTCAAGGACAATAAGTCCTGAACTTACAATTACAAGTTCAAAAATTAAGGACAATAGGTTCTGAAGTCCTGAACTTAGACTAACAAGCTCAAAAGTTAAGGACAATAGGTTCTGAAGTCCTGAACTTAGACTAACAAGCTCAAAAGTTAAGGACAATAGGTACTGAAGTTCTGAACTCAGATTAACAAGCTCAAAAATTAAGGATATTTAGGCTAAGAAACCCAAAAGTTAAGGACAATAGGTCGTGAACTTAGACTAACAAGTGTCACACCTCCTTTTTCCGCCCCGCGAGGGGTGAAGAGAGTTTTTTCAATTAAAGGACAATCGAAACGGGATTTGTTTATTTATTTTTAGAGTCGCCACTTGGGAGATTTAGGGTGTCCCAAGTCACCAATTTTAATCCCTGAATCGAGGAGAATATGACTCTGTTTATTATTCTGCGAACCAGAAATCCTGAGTAAGGAATTCTGTTAATCCGGAAGAAGGTGTTAGGCATTTCCGAATTCCGTGGTTCTAGCACGGTCGCTTAACTGTTTTTATTC